TTATATATAATTTTTTAACATGTAAAATAATTAAGATATTACATAAATAATACATTAACATATCAAATATGCTATATATATATATATATATATATATATATCAAATATGAATATTTATATTATTATTATTATTTAATTATAATATAATATAATATAATTGTTTTTAACCATAGTTCAAATCCTGTCTCTTGCTTTCCAAACACTTCCTCTGTGCATTGTAGTTTATTCAGTATTTCATCTAATTCAATTTAATTCTTTTATTTCCCAGGTCGATCAGAGTTTGCGTGGGTGTGCACACAGATGCGTGTTTCGTGAAGTTCACAGATGAAATTTGTTTCCTAGCTATTTGTGAATAATATTGAAGCACTTTCTGCTTGAAACTTTTGCAGTGTCGCGACATATTTATCTCTGAACAAGCCGACACAGATCGTTGATTTGCATTTCAATAACTTTGGCTCACGGCGTGCTTTTAAGTACACATTAGTGGTTACTGTCAGTTCAGATGGCCCAGTCTTACATAAGTGAGCGACAAGCGACTGGACTTTCCATTATGCCGGTACAATCTGCAAACTCTCAAGACAGCTGAACTGCAATGTCAGCTCTGAGCTGACTGAACACAATGAAACAACTGCCAACTCTCCACACGCTATTACCAGCCCACACCGTGCTAATGGAACAAAGGAAACCTTTACCGTCACCCTACCGCAGTGAATGCCAACACTGTTGGACAGTAAGACCAAAGACCTAGTGGCCGTCTGATACCACAGTGACAGTGACAGGTTCCATTTAAACTAAACATAAATAATGATGAAATAAAGTGAACGTTTTAGAATGTTGAACAAAAAGTAAAAAGTAGTAGATATTATAATTAGCTTTGTAAAAAAAAATAATAAATCAGTACAAGCCTATGGTATATCCTCGAATGGAAAACAATTAATAATTTTTCATTTAAAAAATACAATAAAAAATAGACGTCTGTGGCGCATATATAAAACAAAATAAATATCAAATATTAAAATATAAAATATGCTAAATATTTATAAATAAATTATAAATATATAAAAAATAAATATATAATTCTAATTAATATATTTTATATAATTATGTCACTATATTTACATATATCTATTTCAGTTTAATTATTTCAGATAGAAAAGAATGCAAAACAGAAGCGTTTCCTCTAGTGGTTTCAGACTTTTGGACCCCGCTGTACCTCAAACACCTCTCTTCATTTCAGTGAATGTGATCTACCGAGGCTCTAAAAAGTTTTTTGGTTTTTTTTATCCAGTAGATGGTGGGTGAATGTGATCTTGAATACGGTGTCGGGGCTGCGGCAGAAGCTATCATTCCACGAAGTGCGGCAATAACTCAGTTGTGTTCAATGAGGAGAGATCAGTGGGCCTTTAAAAGACACCGCTCTTTTATGTTATATTCATGCTTGCTGTTTTTTTTTCCTCACAGGCCAGCTGTCTAAAAGCACCACTGTATAATTGATGTGTTTTTGCAGGCACAGGCTGAGCGCAGACAGCGGGCTATAAACCCCTCTCAACAACATGTTCCTCTACGCCTCCTCCTCCCAGATGGCCTCCCTCTATCTCTCCTTCTTTCCTTCTCTATCACACATGCACTCTCTTTCTCTCTCTCTATATATATACCTCTCATACATATCTCCCCCTCTCTTTCTTTCTTCCTCCCTCTTTATTTCTCTCCATGAGGACTAGAGGTTAAAGACTAAATTGGTCATCCTCAGGAGAACTGGGTGATTTGTGGCAGCATGTCTTGGTTTGAAAAAGAGACGGTAATTATGAGTACCTCACTGATAAAGGACAAAAATGTGTGTTTCACCTATAAAAAGTTCAGACAGGACTATAATGTGTGAATGAAGGTTGGAGAGAGAAAGCAAATGTGCAGTAATTGTACTACATAAGGCTGGGTGATTTATATTGAATTTTCACATCTATGTGAGGATTTATTTGGAGAAATAAAGCAACAACAGGAATACACTGGGGGAAAAAAGGGCTTTGAAACCATTTTCACTCAGAAATTGCTAGTAAATTTCACAAATAATTACAAAGAAATGGGGGTTAACCTTAAATGAAATGTGAAATTTTGATGTAGAAAATAAAACATTGAACTAATATAAAACATAAAATTTAAATATTTATATTTAAATATATGCATTTAAATATTTCCCTTTTTGTACTTTAAAATAGAAATAATTAATCCTATAATTAATTACCTGAAAAGAAAATCAACTTACTTATCTTAATTAGAAAAGCTTTTGAAATAGAAGTATTTCGACTTCTTGTTTCAGAATTTTGGATTATTATTATTATTATTATTATTTATCATGTAGTTGTTGCTGCATTTTATAAAAGTCAAAATGTTTTATCACAATGTTGGTGTTTTTAGCACTTAACATAGCTTATTGCTTTAGTATAGCACACATAACACCAGGCTTTTAAAAAAAGTATTGCATAATTATTCTTACATAATAATTCTAATTATACATAATTATTACATTAATATCTGCTGATTGGCAGGTCGGCCACCATAAGCGGATAGTAGACCTTCTTTCAAAGCAATAATCCTTTGAAATGATAATATAATACTCTATTAAAAGTAAGCAATATAGAGTCTCCTTGGCCTGTCCTACACGGTAGATTACTGTAATCTGTCCTCACACACTCTACCTGCTTCTCTTCACCTATTGGTCAGTGCGGCTGTAATGAGAGCAGGGGGCTAATGCCAGAGAATAATGTTTTTATGAGCGACAGCAGAGGTCGCAATTAATGGCTGACGAGACGAACGCCCCGCGAGACGGGAAGTCAGTCCCGACATTTTCACTCAGAAATTGCTAGTAAATTTCACAAATAATTACAAAGAAATGGGGGTTAACCTTAAATGAAATGTGAAATTTTGATGTAGAAAGACTGAAAACCTACTCTAATAATCTGTTTTATTTACAACTGTATTTAAATTTATTTATATTACAATAAAATAGTAATACGACAGGAAGTCAGTCCCGTGGGCATACAAATGGCTTCCTAATGAAGCTTGACATTGGTTATAGGTTATCAATGTGTGTGTGCATGAGACGAGAGAGAGAACAAGAGGGGAAAATTTTATGTGCTTGCAAGCACTATGAAAATTATACTTGAATTCATTGAGTCATTGGTGTAAAATGTCACATGGCATTACATTAATGTACTTCTGTCTGCACCTGCTAACTGTCCTACTCTAGTTCGAA